AATCGATCGAACTTTGGACTTTTTGCTTTGGGTCAAGGTTTGGATCTATCTTGAAGTATTGAGATTGATCATTGTTCGATCGATCGAACCTTGAAGTTGAATCGATCGAACCTTGAAGTTGGATTGATCGAACTTTGCTGCTTCCCATCTTTGGCTTCATTTGCTTCTTTCTTTCTCCACTTTGCTCCTTTCTTTGTTTAATCCCAAAATTGCTTCAATTAAGCTCTTATTTGGCTGAGTTAGCTTATTTCCGGGATAAGTGCCTGAAAATGAAAATATTACAAAATTAATCTAAAACGGTAAAGTAAGATAGATAAAGGTACTAGAATACTTAAGCTTAAGGGGTTTAAATACACACTTTTCAGCGCTCATCATTGTGCATTATTTTGTGCACACGCTCGGGGAGACACCATTCTGCTTCAACACCGAGACTCAAAAGTGCAACAAAAATTATAGCTTGATTGGGCACGTTTTGACACCGAAATTTGCCAATTTCAAATATTATATTTCACAAACCCCTATTTGGTCAAAGAAAGTTTCTCCAGGCAACCTAATTTGGTTAACAATTTCCATAACACTGGAAAAATAGGGTCTGCAAGACTGTATATTTTCGTCATCTTTCATATATAAAGTTTCAAAATTTATATGAAGAGTTTGGAGCTTAACAGCTAATACCTTAGCATTACCTAGGTATTCTTTCCGTAGTAAATCCTTCATTCTTTTGATTTTGTGGTTGCGGAAAGATAGAAGTCGTCAATAGCTTGTTGTAGAAAAAAGAGAACCTTGGCATCTCTCTTTTGACTTTCTTTGAGATTTTCTATAAAACCCTCTTTCGGTATGGCCTTTCTCCACCAAATTCCACAAATATTGAGAAAGAAACAACGTTTTCATATTTGTGCTCTAAAAATCGTATTCTCCTCTAAAAATGAGAAGTTGAGATAGATTAATGCCACCAATAAATGTTTGCCATCTTTATTTTCTTCTCTCTATTACAACGCTGGCTTTGATACCACTGTTACGGAACAGGCCAGGCACGAATCTATGAAGGACTCAGTGGGGGCATGCACCCCAACTGAAATTTATTATTATTATATTTTATACCCCTAAATTTATACTTTTTTGCATTTATACCCATAAAATTTTGAAATTGACCCCACTAAAATTATGGAAAAAAAAACCCCTCTATATAAATTTGCTCCTCCTCATATGAATTCCTAGATCCGTCCCTAAATGCTTAAATAGAGAAAAAAAAATTCTTAAAAAATCTGAACCACAATAACACATTCATTTTTAACTATATCACTTCTATACAACCTCCCCAACTACCCAACATTCATAATAACACAAACAATCCATGATTAAGTTCCACAACTCCTAAAAACACAAACCCACTACCATAAGTACAAACATATTTAAACACATAATTTTGCATTACGCTTAACAAGCCATTATTGATGACGTGGCAAGGGCTCCCTTGCCACGTAGGATAACATATATCCCATATCTATAATATTTATTTGTTAGGACTTCATGAAAAGCAAATCATTTTACTTAAAGTGAAACATATAATTAAAGGGTAATGTAGTCAACGTAGAATTAATGGGTAATTATCTATCTATCTATCTATCTTCTTCTTCTTCTTCTACTTCTACTCGCTTTTTGGACTTGTAACTATCAGGTAAACCCTCAGCTATCCACAGTGCAACCCTCAGCTATCCACAGTGTGAATAGCATTTTAAGTTAGGAGCTTGCAAAGTGACGGGGATTCGAACTCACACCCAAACGTTGGATATGATGGTCCAAAACTTGGAGGCTCATCCTGTATGTGAGTTGTGCAGTGGAATATATTGTGAAATTTTGAGTTTTTATTGAGATAGGATTTAATCACATGTTTCTCTACTCAACTAACTTTACTAAAATTATCGATTAATTAAACAATACAATGCAAAATAAAAGTAAGTAAAGTTTAGAGTGATCGGATTTTATTAGCGAGGAAACCAATTGAAAAACCTAGAGGTTTTGTGCGATATCCCAAGAGTAACAAGATCCACTATTTGTGAAGCAAAGTACACCAAACTTTGCCTCATACTCAAATCCCTTCGCTCAACCAAGACTCAATTTGTTGAATGTCGACTTTGATTTTGCGACTTCTAGTCCAGCAACTCTTGACTTTGGACTTATACCTCAAACCTTGTAGAAGGATTGCTGATATATTAACAATACTCCACAAGTGCCTTGATCCATTCAAAGTGTGATATGAAATTCTTCTTATTTGAATCTGAATTTGATATAAAAGAAATAGATTTGCTTTCCCTGATCGTTGTAGATGCAACATTCAATAGACTTGAACACGATCAAGATTTGAACAACACTCTAAATTCAATCATGTGTATATAGTGTGTATACTCTTACAAATCTCACAAACCTAGATGAGAAAATAAGTTTATATAGACTTTCAAAACCCTAGTTATATTTGGAAAATAAGTTAATTTCATGCACAGGTTTTTGGAAAGAAGTCTATACCAAATAGGAAGTTAAAACAGATTAGGAAACTAAGTTACCAAAACTATCTTGAAGACCTTGAATCGGTTCACAGTTCTTGAAACGGTTCAAGTTGGCCTTTGTTGATCTTATTTTAAGAAAATCGAAGCTATGCATCTTGAACCGGTTTAGCTGCGTGAAACCGGTTCGAGTTGGATAGACTTGAACTGAAGGTTTAAATACTTAATTTTTTTTGAAAATCATACGATGTATATATATACACGCATGCAAGTGTCTTAATCTTCTAACTTATTTTCTTAAAGTGTTGTTCTTACCTTTTCGTAGACTTCAAGTTATCGAACACAACCAACTCTTTACTTCTGCAATCGATCTCGAACTTGAATTTTAAACTTAGAAATACAACTCGATCGGACTTATTTTTGACACTTAAATTAACTAATTACAAAATATATATCTCAAGCTACGAACCATCTTTTCTGCTACCAGGAGAAATCCAATTATCTTTATGAAAGAATAGATGACCATAACTAACTACCATTAACCCAGAAGAACAAAATTAACAAATTTATCTCGTATTTTATTTGTGATACCACAAGTTGTTTTCAGTCACTCTCAAATCATGGAAGTACCACGAACAACTTTGTCTTTTCCATTGTGTTGGTCCTAGCAATTCATCATGCACCGGCTTTGAAGCAAGAAGGATGTTAATGCTGACAAGGTACGTATATAAAAATGCATATGCTAATTATATACGGAGTATGTGCAAACACAAGTGCCTATATATATATATATGTGTGTGTGTGTGTGGCTCTGGCACATCGGAGCCACAGCCACCCCGATGTGCCAAAGTCGGCACTTGACCGTCCGCAATTTTTGACATCTCTCTTTTATGCACATGCTTATATACATACATGTGCAACTTCTGAGATTTTGCAATTAATTTTCAAAACTGCCAAAGATAAGAACTAAAATAATAATTTATTTTTATTTATTTATTTATTTTTTCGTAGAAGTGCATTTTTCTGACATAATATAATTACTTGTTACATTGAAAATTAAGTAACCTGTTTCAAAAAAATAAAATAAAAATGTAATGAGATAATTAAAGACTTGTGAATGCCGAGGATTGCAATTGACTCAAAACACTTGCCTATGGCACATGGAGGAGAGGGATCAGGATGACCAATGACCATGCCAGAAGGGTCTAGTCTTCCTTCTCTTTCCAATTATATGACTAGCATTAGTCATTTAAAACATGATGCAATATTGTCGTATAACAAGCTCATGTTGAGCAATTTGAGAGCATTGTTCACAGTTGATTCTAATGTTGAGCAATTTGAGAGCATTGTTCACAGTTGATTCGTAATATTTTGTTAAATATACGATACTATTATATATTTTTATTGTTAAATTTATATCGATATTCGTGTGAATTTACAAAACTACAATTGATATTACTATTACAAACTAAGCTTAATAGAGAGATAGAGGTACCCTTTCACTGTGTCAATTTCTCACATGCATAACCACTTTTACCTGGTCCCACAGTGGATATCCAAAACCACTTTAGTGAACAAACAAGCAACAAACTAAAATAAAAAATAACAAGAAAACCCCCCATCTTCCTTTTTTGATGAACTTTTAAAAAGAACAACCAAAACAAGCCAAAAGTGCATAAGATTCCTCTCTATCCCATTCCTGTCCTGCCAGCAAATGTCCAATATTTGTTTAATCTCAATCAACAACGACATTATTTGGTAATATAGATGTTGATTGCGATTACAAATATGTTATCAATTATTACTAGCTAGAAGAGACATGTGACAGAAACACTAGGTGTAGAGTAAATAAATAATAAATTACGAAAATTAGTTCCAAGTGGTTTGATAATATTTAACATACATTATAAAAAATAGATTTAGATGGTATAATCATATTTAACATAAATTTGACAATGCATTTACAAAAAGAAGAAATAATTAATTTACGTGAAAAGTAAGCTACAAAAAGAGTTACCAAAGCTCACCTAAAATGAAATAATTAAAGCTGACTTGAAAAACCTAATTTTTTTTTTTTTTTTTTTCCACATTTTAATTTAATCTTTAACAAATCCCACGAACTCAAGAAGCCCATTTTGTACTTGGTCGGTGCACTTTGTGGCCCAAAATTAGTCTTGCACTCATGATGCTGAGCTCCATTAGTATCTTTATCATTATTTTCTCGCATGTGGACCCATCTCTTTCTCAGTGTCTAAATATATATATATATATATATAAGTGGTGGGGTTCACATGGGATGAATCATTGATGAGCTTCTCGACAATTCTATTAAAGCATGTTAGTGACAGCAAGGATTGCAGAGGACAACCTGATTGGACATGCATGTACATCTTTGATTCTTTGCATACACACACATATTCCTTTTTAATCTTATCACACAACATAACACTACATAATTAATGTATAAAACACATGGACTAATTTAATAAACCTTATATTATATGTATATAACTTTATTATATATACATGACATTGAAAAAGTTTTTTGTGTCATCTGAAACCACTCTCTCTATTCTCATCTTCCAATCCCATCTTCAAGAGTAGTTTCTTCCAAATATGCCTGCAATAGCATTTGGGCGCTTTGATGATTCCTTTAGCTTAGGCTCTTTCAAGGCCTACCTTGCTGAGTTCATCTCAACCTTGCTCTTTGTTTTTGCTGGAGTTGGTTCTGCTATAGCTTACAGTTAATACTCCACTCATCTTCTTAAATAAGTACTCTTTCAAGCAACACTGACACACACACACACACACACACACAATTTTAGTATGAACCCTCCTTACCAAAAGGAAAATTGAGTGTTTGACCTTGTTAGAGGCAATACTGTAGGTGTTTTTGCATTTTTTTTGGCATCACTAATTTATATATATATATATATATATTTATATAATTTTAGTATGAACCCTCCTTCCAAAAGGAAGGTTGAGTGTTCGAATATGTTAGAGGTAATATTATGGTTGTCTTTGCGTTTTTTATCATTTTAGTTTAAATAGTATGAACCCTCCTCCCAAAAGGAAGGACGAGTGTTCGAGCAATATTGTGAATATGTATGCATTTCTTTGAGCAAGCTTAAATTTTCTAAAAATATAACAAAACACCGTGTGGCACCAAGACGTAGATTACCAGTTGTGAAAGCATATATATTTTCGAACTGATGCATATTTTATATATATATATGCAAATGATCAGGTCAATTCTTCTTGATTTTTACTGATTTATTTTGTATTTGGCATTTGGCAGACAAGTTGACATCAAATGCTGCTCTTGACCCGGCCGGGCTAGTGGCAGTGGCTATTTGCCATGGATTTGCTCTCTTTGTTGCAGTGGCTGTCGGAGCCAACATCTCCGGTGGCCATGTGAACCCGGCTGTCACCTTCGGGTTGGCTCTTGGGGGCCAGATCACCATCATTACCGGCATCTTATACTGGATTGCCCAACTTGTTGGCTCCATTGTAGCATGCTATCTGCTCAAATTTGTGACAGGAGATTTGGTAAGTTTAAGACAAATTAATCGATCTAGTACTAAATTTCAAGTCTCAATTTGGGTAATTCCTTAATTTTTGGCCAAATAAGACACCTTCCCTAAATATTTATATCGAAAATCGGTGTAGTTTAGTGGTGCTTTCTTATTTAGTAAATTAAGAGGGAGACCAAGTCTGCGTCTGTTGACATGTTAAAGGCTCGGTAGGGGCATTGAATTTTTGTGAAAATCTTAAAAATACGTCCCACTCAATTTATGATAAATGATGATCGATAGTTCAGTGGATCAATATTTTCGGTGAATATTGGATTGCTAAATTTTGACTTTATACATTTATTAATCTAATTTCTAATAGTTCTTGCCTTATAAAAATAAATAAATAAATAAACAAACAAAAAAAAAAATTATGATGATATACCACTATATATTATTATTATTATTCAAGGTTGCCTCCTCACGTACAATTCTCTAGGTCCATCTGAATAAAAATCCAATAAAATAAAAATAGTCTATGATCTTTCAGCACAAAACTAAAAATTAGTGTCCACTTGTTGTGACTTATTTTTCAGGCAATTCCAACCCACAGTGTGGCCTCTGGTGTTGGGGCTATAGAAGGAGTTGTTATGGAGATCATTATCACTTTTGCTTTGGTTTACACTGTCTATGCCACAGCAGCTGACCCAAAGAAGGGTTCATTGGGCACAATTGCACCCATTGCAATTGGTTTGATTGTTGGCGCCAATATCTTGGCTGCCGGCCCATTCTCCGGTGGATCAATGAACCCAGCCCGCTCTTTTGGGCCTGCGGTCGTTAGCGGAGACTTCCACGACAACTGGATCTATTGGGTCGGACCCCTCGTCGGTGGTGGGCTTGCCGGACTCATCTACGCCAATGTGTTCATGTGCCATGAGCATGCTCCTCTCTCCAGCGACTACTAAATTGACTGAATTTTATTTTTCGGATTCCCCTTGATTTTGTAATAAGAGGAGGAAATGCAAGCTTTTGCTTTCCTTTCTTTCTTTAATTTTTTATTTTATTTTTAATTAATTTTTCATTTTTCTGTTTATTTGGGTTTCTAGCTGTAAATTAATGTTTTGGCCTGCTTTTTAAAAGAAATGAAGTTGGTGAAATGCATCATATACTTTTGTGCTTTTGTCTTTTGGAATAGTGGGTGGGCTCATTTATTGATTTACCTTTTGCACATATCTCACACATGCTATGATGGTTAGAGCTCAAACTAAATCATATTGTGTCAATCTGAAGAAAAAAAAATAATAATAAAAAATAAATAAATCTGAGAGACCACAAATTCAAAAACTTTTTACCACTACTAATCCAGTAATATTGTATATCAGCTTAGAGTTTGACTCTTCTTTAGAAAAAAAAATTCCTCCCAAACTAAGGGAGGGGATTCAAACACATGCGGAGGTGGCCCTTTACTAGCAATGTGTAATGAGTCGGGTGTTTAGTAATTCGATCTAAAAACTTAACCTATTAGATGGGTCAAGAGCAGATCTAAAAATATATTCTAAGGTAGGCTAGCATTATTTAAAAAAATAAAAAAAATTATGGGGGCTTAAGCCCACCAGAGCTCTCCTGCATCCGCTCTTGGGTGGAGTTAACACTCAACCTATATCTACTCATTTAACTTTTCATCCGAATCTAATGTGTGACAAGACTCCCCTTGTAACATTAGGCCACTACATAATGCTTAAAGTTTGACTTGAAATCTTACAAATATTAATTAACAAAATGCAATTTCAATAAAATTTGTAAAGTTCCATATTTACTCAAATATCAGTTAAATTTCATTATATGGAGGGGAAATTAAATAATTTTCTAATCAATTTCAAATCTTCTTGTACATGTGTGGATGCCTTTCTAATTGAGTTTTCTATACAACTTGAGATTCATATTATAAATAAAATAATAAAAGAGAAATTGCCTTTCTAATTGGATTCTTATACCATTCGGGATTCATATTATAATTCTTATACAAAAGTTTTCTCTAAAAAAAAAAAAAAAAAAAAAAAAAAAAAAACTTTATTATTTTTAAATATATTTTAGGGTTAAGTGCAAAAAAATTAATCACTATATAAAAAAAAGTGCAAAAAACACCCCTATGAAAAAAAAAAAAAAAAAAAAAAAAAAAAAAAAAAAAAAATTTCCCTGTATTATCCATCTTTTAAGTAAATTGCCCCCTATTGAATAAATCTGATGAAAAATAGCATTGGTGATGTCATTTTTTTTCCTTCTAAAAATCTAAAAGTACCATTTTTGTGTAACAAGAATGCTCCTACCAATTTTGTATATATATAAACAGTGAATGGGTTTATTTAATTGTACTTGATGACCTATCCAAGGAAATCTCCTCTTTAATATTATTTTTTGTAATACCCCTATAGTTTAAAGGAGTTATTTCATTAATTTAACTACTTTTAATTTGATTGAGTTGATTTATTTGATTTAATTGGGTGTTTTATTTAATTGTCTTATTTTATTTAAATTATATTTCGTGATTATACTTGATAATTTGGTATGATATTTAGCTTTATGGGAATGCCATGATTGAGTTGTTTATGTGACTATGTGTGTATTTATGCTTGTGTTATTTAATTGTGAATTATGTTTAATTAATTGATTTAATTTAATTATTTTATTTATTTAAATATTTAAGGGATTGGGTTTAAGGAAGTTGGACTAATGGATGTGGTCTTGGGCTTGGATGGAGCCTTAATGGGTTAAATAATTAGGGTTCATGGTTGTAAAGGTTTATATATATATATATTATGATATGTAAGTATAAATATAAATATATATTCTTAAGTATAATACATATATAATTTTATTGGGAAGTTAGACTAGGATTAGTATTAAGGTATATATGTATACATGTGTCTATATAATTATACATATTGTATTAGTATTAGAAAAAGGGTATTCACGTTAGAAAAATAAAAGAGGTAGCCAGAGAATATATATTTATATTTATACTTACATATATATGATATGTAAGTATAAATATAAATATATATTCTTAAGTATAATACATATATAGTTTTATTGGGAAGTTAGACTAGGATTAGTATTAAGGTATATATGTATACATGTGTCTATATAATTATACATATTGTATTAGTATTAGAAAAAGGGTATTCACGTTCGAAAAATAAGAGAGGTAGCCAGAGAAAGAGGAAGGCAGAAGAGAAAAAGAAAGGAAGGCCAACCAAGAGGAGGCTGGATCAGAGATAGGACGACGCCGATAACATGGAGGCTACTGGAGTTGGAAAAGATGATCAAGACTTAAGATGTCGGTTTCGTTTCGAAACCTTCAAGCGAGTTCTTCTCTACTTTTCCTCTTAGATCACATAAGTTTTACATCTAGGGTATCAAGATCTTAAACTAAATTGCATGATAAATCACCTAGACATAGGACTGAAGGCATGGATTAAACTGATATGTATTGATGTGCATATACATATATATGGATGAAGAAAATGAATTATAAAAATTTGTTATTGGTGTTTCTACTTGTTGATTTTGCTATATTTGGATATATGTATATTTATGTAAGAAACATTGTATTCGGAATTATTGGTACACAATTTGGGGACAAAAACGACGGATTTACAGGCCTGGAATAGTGCTGCAGAGCTGCTATCACAAACCAGTGCTCAAGTATTGGGGTTTATGCTTGAGCACTGGGCTGTTTCGCAAACCAGTGCTCGAGCATTGGCTGTGCTCGAACACAGATGGGTTGTGCTCGAGCTCTGAGACCAAAACTTCGTTGAAACGACTTTGAGTGATGCCGAATTGATTCTAGAAGGTTCCAAACATGTTCTTATACGTGGGAACAGTGTCATAAGATGTAAATACCTGAAAGTTCATTATACTCTAGTGATTCGGGGTTTGAGGCTGAAGTTTAAATTAACTATTAAGTTCTAATTAAATATTTTGTTAAAATTTAAATGAATAAATATTATTTATGATTATAATTGATCTAGAACATGATCTTTGGATGCGCTTAGATGTTGTATCATTTATAGATATGATATTGATGAGTATGATGAGGGTATATGATGGAAATCATAGTAGGTTGTTTTACATAATTTATTCATGCTTATATTTTGCATGTGTGCCTAATGTATGATTTATTGTGAATTAATTTATGATGATGGTAATGGAGTGTGGAACCACGTGAGCTGGCTAATAAACCCGGTCTCACTTGTACCTCGACTTGGTTGAGTGGTCTTGATATGTGGTTAATTGGAGGCATGGTTGAGATGTCAAGGCATAGAAAGATGAGCTATTTAATTGTATGAACAAAATACATACATTAGAGTATGGACAATTTGCTAATATATAGTATGGACAAAAACAGGTTCTTGGAGGCATGGACGAGTTGCTATTATATTTAAATTTGTAAAAAAAATAATATACATACTCCTAGGTGTGGATAATGTATAATCTATAGGATAATTGTTATTTTTATTTAATGTTGGGAAGTTAAAGAATATAATTCTAAGAAATGGTGTTACGCTTATTATGGTTGTGGGTGTACTGTTAAATTACTATATGTATAACTCTAAGCATGTAGAATTTGCCTAATTTAGATATGCCTTGGTAAATACGGGTGCATAACATTCATTGGTATCTATATTGTGAATGTATGATTTGTGATGGGAATATATGTAAACCAGTGACCTGTTAGTATTTTACACCGTAAAGGGTTAGCATGATTCTACATCAAAATTATGGGATGTTGCCATAGTTATTGATAAAGTAAAATATTTGGTTGTGGGTATGAATATTGGTTTGTGGGGTAAGATTTGGGATGGATGGAGAATTCCACCGACATGTTGGACTTCAAGTTTTACATAGACGGGAGGTCCACAGAAAGGACCAATGTATCACGTACTAGTATTTTTGTAGTATCAAAATTATACGATGTTTTCACAAAAGGTTAAGGTTGCAATTGAGTCAAAAGATGCGTTTTGATATCGTTATGATGAAAGGAATGACTTTCCTTATAACAAGTATGGTAAGCTTAAATGGCATGAGCTTAATGGTTTAACCCGTGAAAGGGATTTGTTGTAGAAAACTTTTTGCCCGGTATATATGGAGGCATTATTTATTGTGGAAACTGATTGAATTGCTTAGATTACAGAGGCGACAGTATATGTTCACATAGAGAACACAGATGTGAGATAACGTATATAGCTGAATTGTGGGAAGTTGTTACTTCTACACCCAGTATGTCTAAGAGTCCCAAACTTAAAGAAATGCCCTAACCAACTCTCGAAACTCACCTGGCACTCCCTACGGTTTCTGGCACGCAAAACTAGGTAATGAAAATAAATAATCCAAAAAATAAAAAAATCCCAGAAAAATAGAAAATATGAAAAATGAGAAACATTGTACAAGGTTTCACAGAAACCTAGTATTGATTACGAGGAGACATACTCTCCTATAATGGATGCCAATAATTTTCGTTTCTTGATCAATTTGACAGTCTCGAAAGGAATGGACGTGGTTACAACATATTTGTATGGATCACTAGATAATGATATTTATATGAAAATCCCTGAAGGATTTAATGTAACGACCCTAGCTGATGCCAAGAGTTTTACAAAAAAATTCGGCATAACCTCCCCTAAAAATAGGCCTACCATACCTTGTTTAAATTCATTTTTAACCTTTCATGGCTCAATTTCCGAATTCACGGCAACAGTATATGATCATACACAATCAAATAACACCGATAATTACTTTAACTAAAATTATCCTTCCCATTCATCAACAAGGTTACATGACAAAGTTTTGCAAAATATATATATATACCTTTATACTTTTAGTGCTTTGCAAAAATAATGGGAAATATACAAAAGACACAAAAGTGAGCTTCTAGTATCGCTCAAGCTTGAGGTGGGTTGTCGTTCACCGGTTCTTTTCCAAGACCTGAAAAAAATGTATAAATAGTAAGGTGAGCTATATGCTCAGTAGGTGACACTTAAGACACAAATCTTGTGTCCTTGTGAATTCAAGCAAAGCATAGGCCAATGGGAGATAGGGATCATACAACGTAGGGTATCAAATACAACATACAATTCAATTCCAATTATAACCAATACAATGCAATGCAATGAAATGCAATGCATGTCAATGACACTCCCCATTTTTATTCTCAAAACCATCACTTTCAAACATTAATACAGCCCGCCCTTTGGTAACCCCGCCGCGACACGAGAGGAGGATTGGCTAGTGTCCCTGACCCTTGGTAACCCCGCGGCGTCATTATGGGGCCCAGCTAGCTCAACCACACTAGGGCGACTCCTTAGTCCCCTCTAGGCTATATTAACCTCCGGCCCGTTGGTAACCCCGCAGCGACTGGGTTTATCAAAACCATTTCACAAAAACTATCATCTCCCAAAAATTCCTCATTTTCATTTCAAGACAAATTCTCCCATTTCATGCATCCCAATGACATGTCCAAGAATGTACATATAATCTCAATATCATGACAATGTGAAATTTTGGCACAATACAATTAAGCATGGTCTCATATATCCTTTTCAGCAAGTTTACACATAGTAGACATAAACTCAACACATAGGCATGCTTTTCACATAATACATCACATGTGCATAAACATACATTTCTCTAGACAACATTAAAATAATCGTTAACACAATTAATCCCCAAGTAAAGCATGTTAGCACATAAAAGAGGAGTAATTCACAAAAAAACACCACAAAGCCATCATCTATACATGCTTTTCACATAGACAAGTCATAACCCTAAGACATGAATTTTCTCTAAACATCACTTACACCTCATTGAAGCAATTAATTATCAAATTTAGCATGTCTACCACAAAAAAAAAAACATAACTCACAATAGAACAAGAAGAGAGTGGATTAAGATGCCCCTACCTCAAAATAGGCAAAACCCTAGAAATGGGTCCTAAATTTCGAAGTTCAAAGGGTGCACCAAATCTGGAATTGTTGGTATGGATGCGTAGAGCTCGACATAAGCTTCGTTTTGCCTCAAACGGCACCCAAATCTACCAAGAGATGATGAATTAATCAAAGATTCAAGTTGCAAAGGAAAAAGAAAAAGAAAAAGGCAGAGAGATAGAGCACTGGCCGAGAGAAAGGATTCAGCGGGGAGAGAGAATGAGCATAAAAAAAAAGTCTCTAAACCATATGTTTGAGTGGGTGGTGGGTCCCGCCGATTTTCTTTTCTTTTCCCTTTTCTTTTTGTTTCAAAATACTCCACATATAAACAAAATGCACCACATACATCTATAAGACACAAACATTACATTTAAATTGCTCGAAGTAAATAATTCAAAGCCACGTAGCATGTACTCGATCAAGTTACAACGATCCTTGTATCGATTGAAGCAATCTGGACGCATATGGTATAATCATCTCAGTGAATACTTATTGAAAGAAGGATATTTGAATAATCCAGTTTATCCATGCATCTTCATTAAGAAATTTGGATCTGGATTTGCTATTATAGCAGTATATGTTGACGATCTCAATCTTGTGGGAACTCCTGAAGAGCTCACCATGACTGCTAATTATTTGAAAAGGGACTTTGAAATGAAAGATTTGGAAAATGAAATTTTGTCTCGGCCTGCAGATCGGGCATTTACCAAATGGAATTCTTATCCACTAATCAACATATATAGAAAAAATCCTGAAGCGCTTTTATATGGACAAGGCTCATCCATTGAGCTTCCCAATGATCGTTCGATTACTTGATATTAAGAAAGATCCTTTTCGTCCTAAAGATGATAAAGAATAACTTCTTGATCTTATAGTACCATATCTTATAGTACAATTGCACTCGACTTGACATAGCATTTTCAGTTAACTTACTAGCACGGTACAATTCTACACCAATTAGGAGACATTGGAATGGGGTTAAGCACATTTTGCGATACTTTCGTGGAACTACTGATATGAGGTTGTTCTATTCAAATATATCAAAGCCCCAATTGATTGGATATGCAGATGTAGGTTATTTTTTTGACCTACATCAAGCTCGATCACAAATAGGGTATATGTTTACTTGTAGTAATACCACTATATTATCGCAATCTATGAAGCAGACAATGACTGCCACTTTTTTAAATCACTCCGAGATCCTCGCAATTCATGAAGCAGGGAATGTGTTTGGTTGAGATCTATAATATAATATATTCGGGAATCATTTGGACTCTCTCCAATAAAAGGTAGCCCCATAATTTTATACGAAGATAATACTGCTTGTATTGCACAGATAAGAGGAGGCTACATCAAAAGCAATAGATCCAAAAACATTTCACCAAAGTTCTTCTCCACACATAAGCTCTAGAAGAGCCGTGACATTTATATTCAGTAGATACACTCCAGTGACAATCTAGCATATTTATTCATTAAAGCACTACCAACTACAACATTGAAGAAGTTAGTACATAATATTGGAATACGTTAGTTAAAGGATCTTCAATGTTGAACTAATGCAACAATGAGGGGGAGCAATTGACTGAAAAGGTATTATGATACTGTACTATTTTCCCTTCGTCTAGATTTTGTCTCACTAGGTTTTCCTGACAAGGTTTTAATGAGATAGTTTTAACCTATGCAATACCCTTTTTCTGATACACAAGAATATTGTACTATTTTTCCTTCGCTAAGGTTTCGTCACACTGGGTTTTTCTTAGCAAGGTTTTAACAAGACATATTCTTAGTATAAATTAGTGGATCCTAAAGGGGAGTATTGTGCATGTGGGGTCCACATGCCAAATGCAAAAGTACTGATGTATGTATGTAATTGGTAACTGAGTAGACAAAATGGGTTCAATAGATAAGTGTGCTTTTGTGTGTAAATGCAATTGAAATGTGAACAGCTGATTGGCTAGCAGATCTTAGAAGTTACGCAAACAAGGTCTATATATATGCTTATGTACAAGGTGAATCAATCAATGAAAACAAGGTAGTAGGTGCTGAAAAACGCTCCCACCTCTCTTTAACTTTCTCTCTTTACCCAGCCATCGTCTTCTTCCCTCTGTTCCTCCCTGCTCCCTTTTATGGGAGTGGGGAGGTGATAACTGCCTCCCACGGCTGCAATGAACTCGGCGTGTTTCAATAAGTGTGCTTCGTGGGTGTGTTTTTACGCCTTTTTTGTTTTGGTTCGGTTAGATCTGCTCATATTTGGTTCGTTTTTGGCTCACATAGACGGATCTGTTGTTTTTTCTCCAGCTAGATCTTCGATCTAGGTTGGTTTTGGTTTTGTCCTGCCTTTGGATTGACAAAAAAAAAGAAGAGTAATTTGAAGCTCCTTTTCGCAGTGACGTAGTTCTTTCATCTCTTTTATATACGTAGTATATTTCTTTCTTTATATTCTTAATATTATCTTTATTTTTTGTTTAATTTTTTGGGGAAAATCAAGCAAAGGCCAAAGTGTAAGGTGTGTGTTTGTACAATGTTGGGCTTACTGCATTATCTTAGTATTAGCCCAGATGGTTACAACCATGATTAAAGCCCTAAGACCCAATAACAGTCGATACCAATTATTTGAACGTAAAAATGTATAACAAATGTACAGAGCAAATGTATAACAAATGTACTTAGTTCTCTTAAAATTGCCATAGTATGTTAAATCATCAAGTAAATCTCTTGATTCTCATCATAATCCAGAGCAAATATACTTGATTTTTTTTTTTTTAAAGATATACAATGTCAAAAAAATAAAAGAAAAAAAAAATCATATCAAGGTTGTGGAGGGGGTTCTTTGTCATAATTCCATTCATGTCCTTTCCACTCAGGCAATTGTTGAATGACAACCTGCATCACACAAGAAAATCATTTATATCTAATCTAGACACAAAAGAATATATATATCTATATATATATATGGTTTTACCCATATAGAGAATGCAATTAGTAACAAAATCCATATCATGATTAATTAAAAGATTTATCTAAATTATGTCACTGATTGAAGATAGTTTGGTAGATAGCTTCTGTTCTCAAATCTAAATTTACATACATATCTTTATACACATGTTCTGATATGGTTTTGAATATACTTAAGCATTTTAGCTAAGTTGAATTAAAAAAAAAAAAAAAAAAAAAAAGGCACATTAGAAGGAGAAATTACAAACCAGGCCTCTAGAATCTGCTTTACCAACCATGGTTTGACAAGCAAGTCTCCAATTTTTCGGATTCTGCAATTGCAAGTTAGCATGAGTAATTGAGTACTATTAGGCTTTTACCCCAATGTCAAAAAAAATAAAATAAAAATAAAAATAATAATAAATAGATAAAAATTAAAATATAATTACTGAAAAAAGATCATCAACAGTATAGATATACTTAGTAAAATTATTGAAAACACTAACTAAGAGTTTTTTGTGATCATGGTAACTTCAGAATTTTTCCTTAATTACTTATTTTACTGTTATTGGTTCGTTGTATCAATGTTGCGGTATAACCGATGCAATGTATGAGTTTTCGTAAATTAAATAAATAGATGAAAATTTTTAAGTAGTTGTGACTAGTTAATTAAATGTAGTTATATGGAATGGACACCATCTCTATGCATAAAGCTATTTGTGCATGTCAAATTTATATTTTGAGAGGTGCTACAATGTCAAAATGATATATTTTAGCAATTCTACTCCAATAATGCGCTGCTATTTTTTTGACACAACCACCATTTTTTTTTCAACAACCATTCTCAACTTCCATTTTCAACCACCATTCTTTTTCCATTACAAATATAGATATAGACAGAGGAAACAAACTCCATTCTCCAAGAAACAAACAGATTCATGAGAGAGAGATGAGAGAGAAAGAAAGAAGATTAACAAATAGAGGCATTGATTTTTTATCATCATCGCCGCCGCCCTATTCACTGGAGCTCATGCCATAACCCAGAACCACAGCAACGGCAGAGGGAGTCACGATCAGACCACGGCGGAGGGAGCCACGATCAGACCACGGCGATGTGCGAAAGTGGTCGTGGGGTCGATTTGCCACCGAGATCAGAGACCCCTGGAAGAAGACCTGAGTTTGGCTCGGCACCTTCGACTCCGCCGACGTCGCCACACGCGCCTACGCCGCCGCCGCTAGGTCTCTTCGCGACCCCAAGGCCAAGACCAATTTTCCATTACTACCCTTTTCAATCCTTAATACACCCAACCCAAACCCTAATAATGGTAATCATCTTTAGGACAATGATGGATTTCAACAATTTCATTCGAGACCCACCATGAGCAGCCTGAGCAGCACCTTGGAGTCCTCCAGTGGGCCCAGATCGTCGAATCTGCCGCTGAAGTTTAGAATCCGACAACAGCAGAAGCCACAACCGGTCGTTGCAGATGAGAGGGAGAGAGAGACGACAGAGATAGCAATATTAAGGGACAGAGAAAGCAACGAAGGGGATTGAGGGAGATAGGAAGAAATGGCGTCATAGGGCAATCAAAGAGACTTGCCAAAAAAAATTGGCAGCTCCTACATTTGAGAACAAATTTGAGATTTTCAAATTTTGAGAGGCTAAATGAAAGGCCATTAGAGAGCCCCTTTTTACCCATCTCTAAAATTATGAGTTTGAGAGCCCAAAATGAAAGAGCATTGGAGTTGCTATGTTTTAGACTAAATTGCCAAACTACATTACAATGATAAAATTACGTATCAAATTCTATATACCCTTTTGAGTTTTTCCTTCTCTTTTTCTGTTCGAGGGCTTAGGAGTTCCTTTCCTTCGACAACCTGAAAATATTATAAAAAATTTATGAGAAAGAGAAATATATAAACAAACACATAAAAATACATGCTAATTAGTTGTGTCTATTAATAAAAAATAAAAATAAAAAAATAAAAAATTGGTTCTTAATTGGTACTCGTACACTTATGCTTTCACTGAGACTTGAATTTATGACCTCCATTTAAGAAGTAGAGGCTTAATACCGTTGGGTCACTGCCCGTTGGTACGATTATCCAATATTTATAGGATAAGAATCTTAATTAAATTTTTCTTCGACAATTCAATCCAACACACACACTTACAATATTGCTACTTATTATCTATGAAATGGAATATATACATCACCTCAACCATGCATGTCGCACAAGTTCCTCCTCCCGCGCAATTTAGCAGAGGCCTAGACTGAAATTATAAAAAATTGAAACCATATATCTTTCAGAAACTTATATATAAACTCAAATAATGCAATATTGATCATTTGGTACAAGATTTCATTGCATTTCAGTGAGTCATTGATTTAACTTACATAAGGCCCATAGAGCTCAATATTAGAATCCAACATGATGTCCCTTAGCTTCTGCCCACCACAAGCTGTACGAAAATGGACATCCGGCGTTCCGTCAGGAAGCAATACAGACTGAATTAAACAAAACATAATTCATTAGCACATTATCACATAGAATGTGTGTGTATGTGAATTTAAGTAGTAAAACTTACGCTAACGAATGCGAAATTGACAGCAGGTGGTTCTTCAGATTCTGTAGTTTCTGAGTCAGTACTATCTGGGATTGTTCCAACAGCTTTGATTGTTGTTCCTCCAGAGAAGCTGAGACGTTTAGGCCATTTCATGATATTGCAGGTAGTGTTATTTTTTTTGTTGAATTTAGTTGAGACTCTGAGTGAAGCTAATCCATAGGAATTCAGTTGAAGACTCCCCATATTCAAAGGTTAAAGTGCTCACACAGTTTAGCAGTAGTGCATTGGATACTTAGGTGGTGTCTTTGGTATGGTATGTGGTTCTTATTTATCTTATCCAATGTTATGTGGGTTGGCAAGTGTGTGTTTGTATGTGTCGGTCTGAGTGGTCAAAGAGGAGGAGACTGTCACACAGTATTAAAAAAAATTAAATAAATTTAACACGGTTTAATTGACTCGCAGCAGTCTGTGGTTAGCGGAGACCATGATTTTGTATATTCTTTGGTAACAAAATTTATCAATTGTAATTGTCATTTGTTACTTTTAATATCATTCATATATATTGATATGTTAGGGATTTGAATTGAGGTTGTCCACTTGATAATGTATGTGATTTATATTTACATGAATGGGTTCATGTATGGAATATATAAATTTATGCAATTATATAATTATAAATGGTTTATTATCAGTGATAAAGGATGAACTTTTTATCAATAAAGAAATAAATCGGATAAAAAATAAATGGAGTAGATTGTGAGAGCCGTTGTAATAATTGCTCCATATTAACGTTATGGCGAATGACTCTCAAGCATGGGAGAGATATATACTTTTATATTAATTAATAATTGCTTTGATTTATTCAATGGGCCTTAGGGTTTAATTTCCGGTACTTTGGATAATTATTAATTAATAACTTGAGAATATACTCTCAATAGTTGCATATGTGCTATTATATATATTTTGACTTGATTAGTTTGATCACAGGAAAAATTCGGAGGCCTCCATGTGTTTTTTGATAAAATTCGTTTATATATATTTTTATTTATTAAATATATTATTTAATCAAATTAATCGATTTATGTGATCAAATAGATTTATTTAATTAAGTAATCGAAATGATGCCATTTATGTATTCGATAACTAATTAAGTATGAAGGGGTCATAATGCAAATTGACTTATTTATTCGATAGCTAATTAAGTATGGAGGGGTCATAATGCAAATTGACTTAGCAATTAACCATTTTCTAATTGAAGTTCAACTATTCTTATTTAGTGAAGTTTAGAATAATTAATGAAGTCAATTGTTAGCCCATTGGAGACATGAAGGAATGGGCCAATGGATCCTCATTCCTAGCCCAAGCCGATTTTTTGGCTGGAGATGGGTTAGCAGTTTTGGTCAAGAGTGCCTAACATACTCTTTTTTTTTTTTTTGAAATTCAAATGAATAGATATTTAAATTCTGGCCACGTGGAATGTGTATAAATGAAAAGGTGTCTAGATTCATGGCTTGGCAGTTTTGTAAATTATAGCAATAACAATGGATAAATCGTTTGGTGCATGTGATGGTAGTGGGTTTGGTTTGATGAGTGCGTCTGCGCCTATAATATTCATGAGATATGGAAGTTAGTTGTGAGTCCTGGCAACAAAGGAAAGAGATAAGCCCAAGTAAATGTGCAATTCAAATTCAAAAAAGGTGGTTACGTATACCACACCGTTGGTGTTGTTTCCGATATCTACGCATTTCACCACTCCACCGACAATTCATTGTCCCTATCGCACTCCAATTTGGTAGTTTTTACCGCCTATTTAGGGTTGAGTCCTAGGAATTGACGACGGATTTAAAAAACCGCCTACAGACTCTTTACGTCCAATCATTCCGAATAATGCTTACATCCTTTGTATTACCATGGTTGCTACCACAGAGCTTATTCCTCAGATACCGTCATTGCTTCTTCTTCGGAAAAAGAAATTCACGACCAATAGGCCTTCTACCTCCACGCGGCATTGCTTCGTCAGTATTTCACCCATTATGGAAATTAAATTCCCCATTGCTGCCTTCCGTAGGAGTCCCCATTGATTTATGTATTAGATTACAAATTGAAAAGAATCGCGAATATTGTATGAAACCGTAAAAAAACTTTCAAGACGGAAATTACCCGATAGATGTTGTATTCATACATGTTAGAAATGCAAATCATAGTATTCATTCTTATGGGAATGGGAATGAAAAACAAGAGAAACTTTTTCTTGAAAAATGGACAAACAGAAGTCTAACTCCTAAAGAAGCACTTCATGAAACCTTTTGGTAGAACGTAGCATGTGCAAAGGTCCACAACCAATACATCATTTTTTCATTATGTAATCATTTTAGTTCTGTATATTTTATTTCTTTAGGATCCTGTAGTTGTAATCAAACTCTATTCTTGTACTTATTGTACAAGAGATATGTATTTTATTGAAATAAAGGTGAATACCAGTGTGCTCTTAATACATTGTGCTTTATTCTCAAAATTTCCCTCTGAATTTTCTGCAAAAGTTCTCTTAATTGATGCATTCGAACCCAACAGGAAAGGGGTATCCCTACTTTGCTTACATCACCTGATCGGAGAATTAACTGGTTAATCAACACCAATTAATCACGTCTCATAGGGATTGTTTGGCATGCTTGAAAATTTAATTTAAGCCAAACAAGTGGCACACCCAGTGGGACACCGGTGCTGAAAAATAAAGTGTCAAAAATGGCGATTTCCCGATCCAGATTATATATTTTAGCCAAAAATGTCAACAATCTGGCACAACGATTAGAAAATAACCAGAGGCAAAATACATGGAATTTCCATGGAGTAATTTGTTTCAATTCAGAGAAAAATATAAGGATTGAAATTATATCCTGTGTATCATTCACTGATGTTGTTACATTCAATTTATAGAATAAGACTGGACTAAAATAGGTAACTAATTATACAATAATCAGGAAGCTAATTATCTACCAATTAGCCATAAGTTAGGGACTAAATAATTCAATCCTACAGCTATACAATCTGTATAATCCCGGATTACAAGAGATAAAATCTCAACACTTCCTCTCAAGTTGGTGCATAGATGTCACACGTGCCCAACTTGTCTAAAAATTTTGAAAACATTTGATTTGAGACTGCTTTGGTGAGAATATCGGCTAGTTAATCCTCAGATCGAATTTAAGGCAATTCCACAATTTTCCCATCCAACTTCTCCTTAATGAAGAATCTGTCTATTTCGACATACTTCGTACAATCATGTTGAATTGGATTATGAGCAATATCACATGTTACTTTATTGTCACAATATAGTCGAATAGGTTGCCTAGGTAAATAACCCAAATCCCGCAAGAGAAGTCTTAACCATAATGTTTCACAAAGTGCAAGTGTCATACCTCTAAATTCAGCTTCTGCACTCGAGCAAGCAACAACATTTTGTTTCTTGCTCTCCATGTAACAATATTACCTCCTACAAAAGTAAAGTAACCAGAAGTAGATCGCTTATCATTTATAGCTCTAGCCCAGTCACAATCAGTATACGCATCTATGTTTTGATAACCAGCATTTTTAGTGAACAAAATTCATTTTCTAGGAGCAGACTTTAGATACATTAAAATGGGTATAACTGCATTTATATGTTGCTCTCCAGGATCATGCATAAACTGGCTAACAACGCTTAATGTATAAGCCAGATCCGGTCTCGTGTGTGCTAAGTACATCAGTCTTCCTATAAGTCTTTGGTATCTTCCTTTATTAGCAGGTACTTGGTTGGACTCAACACATAACTTCAGTCCTTCTTCCACTAGTGTCTCAGCTGGTTGACATGCTGTCATGCCAGTCTCTTGTAATAGATCTAAGGCATATTTTCTTTAAGATAGAAAGATTCATTTATTAGATCGAGATACTTCGATCCCAAGAAATATCTCAAAGGACCTAAATCTTTCATTTCGAATTCTCTAGACAAGTAATTCTTAAGAGCCTTCATTTCTTCAAAATCATTCCCTATAACCACCATGTTATCTACATATACAATGAGTGCAGTAATCTTACCCTGTTGTTTCTTCAAGAATAACGTGTGGTTTGAATTGCTCTAATATAATACCCTTAATTTTAAAAGGATAATCCTGGAATTTAATTAATTAATTAATTGCATTTTATTTATTTATTTGTTTATTTGCCTGAATTTTTATTTGTTTAATTGCTTATTTGCCTGTTTATTTGAATTAATTAATGAATTGTTTTATTTAATTGTATTTTAATTTTTCTTTAATTGAATTAATTGTATTATTATTTTCTTTCATTGAAGTAATTGTTTAATTATTTAAATGCGTTAATTGGATTAAATTAGGGTTTTTCGTCTCTAATTATAAGTGGACTAGGGTATATATTAGACTATAAATATACGATGATAAGTCTGTATAGGGTTACAAACAAACCCTATTCATGTAGTGAGAGGCAGAGAGAAACAGAGATTGAAACTTGAGAGATTAACAGAGGGGTTCAAGGAGGACGGGACAGATTGCTTCTGGGTTGAACCAAGAGCAACGGAGGTGTAGAACGGCAGTCTAGGAAGTGGTCAGTAAACTCAAAGACGGAGGTTTAAGGTTTTGAACAGAAACCTAAAGACAAATTCATATTCTAACTCATTCCCCAAAAACCTGTGTTCTGTGCATGCCTAGGTAGACTCCAGGGATTAAATTAATGTTAAAACATATCTTTTAGGCATAATTAAACTGTATTAAATCTCATTGGATTAAACTGGTTTGAGTTTTCTTAAAGTTTCTAACTGAATCCTGCTGTCGTTGTTTTAAAAGCTTGTGATCAACATGTTGTGGTCATATAACAATGTTTTATGATTATTCTGGGACTGAGATTGAACCCTAATAACATATATTTAAGCAATACAGAGGGTTTAGATGGCGCAAGAGGTGAAGAAGACGATCAAAACAGGTATAACGGCTTACAGGGAGAGAGAGACGGCTCCCTAAATGAGGGAGCTAGCTCCCTCAATGATGGAGCCGGCTCCCAGGAGTGTGAAGCCAACTCCCAAATCCTTAGAGCAGGCTCCCATTGTTATAGAGCAGGCTCCCAAGTGTTTGGAGTAGGCTCTCAACTTTTGAGAGCCTGCTCTCGCTCAGAAATGTGTATTAACGGTTTTAAAGTTTTGTTTGGGCTATACAGGGTAGTTTTAATCCGTTTAAAGTGCATCAAATGATGTAAGTAATTGCTATGGACCTGTAAAAATATGGGGAAGCATTAATTCATAAATGGGTTAAAGAATGGAGCAATATGAA